TATCAACTCAGCCAGCTACTTCAGACAGAGTAAAAAAGTAAGATCAACATGATATAAGGAAAAATAATTATTCATTTTAAAATGTCACGTCCAAATATATCTATATTTTGAGGATGTTCTTACAGATTTATATATTTGACAGGTTATCTGAAAGCATGTCTCCTGTTGCAACTGACATGGAAAAATCAACAGTTTTCAAGTGAGTGTTATTATGAGCTATTCTATTATTAAGACTATTAGCTTGTTTACACAAACATTTAAGATCTTGATTATTTAATAGGAGCAGAGAGTCCTTATCAACTCAGCCGGATACTTCAGACAGAAGAAAAAGGTAAGATCAACAAGATACAAGTTTTTTCTTTGGCAATTTCTTGTCCAAATATATCTATTTGTATATGTTTCTAGGATGTTTTTACAGATATTTGTATTTGATAGGGTCAAAGACAATCTGTCTCCAGAGTCAACTGATGTCATAGAAAAAACACTTTTCAAGTAAGTCCTATTATTAGCTATACTATGATTAAGACAATTAGAGTCTCTGTTTTTTCCATGATCTTGATCTTGGTCTTGATTTAGGAGCAGGGAGTCCTTATCAGCACAGCCAGCTCCTTTAGAAAGAACAAAAAGGTAAGATATCATGTCCAAATATCTGGCACCAAAATAAGTTATTGAAATAATTGTATAAATAATAATTTAATGTCCAAATTGTGTATTTTGTAGATTATATTGTACTCTATTGTATTCAGTACATCTGTGGTTTATTGAGAAAAGCTGTTCATAAGCATTTTAACTGTACCTACTTTAAAATAATGCCAGATTTTTCTTCTGTGTGTATGTGTGTGTCTGTATTGGTATGATTGTTTTTTTTATGACTTTTCTATCCTTTTATATTCAAATGACATGTTCACACAAGGAAAACTTTTTTTTTTAAAGGATAAAGCCCAGCGGTTAGAATTTAGCTTTCCTTAGCTTTCCTTTTGCGTATTTATTCAGAGTTGTTTCATTTTCAAATGGTCTAGAATGTCTAAAATAAAGTTTGTCACTTTTTATTCCTACTGGATGGAGTGCAGCATGGAAAGAGACACTTCCAGGCACCACCCATCAGAGAGGAGCACGACTTTATACACCAGAAATACATCTAGATATGATGACAAAGCAAACGAGGAAACGTACAGGCGTTACTCTTTTCAGGCAAGGAGGTACTCTATTAAAGAAGAGGAGAGTAAAACAGATGATATTGCAAAAAAAATGGGGAACAAGCCATCTTCTAGAGTAAGTAACCTGCTTTTGCTTTCAAAACACTCAATGACATGTTGATATGCTCCTAGCAAAGCTAAGATGTATTTCTCTCCTGTCAGAAGCCGATAATCTTGAGTGTGCAAAGGGAGGAGAACTTCAGCGCTCTGAGCGACATCATGAGGAAAATTCCACGGACCAGTTCAGGACTGCTTAAGAGAGAATCAAAGAGTATACATACCCAGTCCATGTGGGATCTGAGCAAGGAAGATGCAGCTACAAGTCATGAAAAGAAAGGAGTCTCAGTGCCGAGATATACCAGGCCCATTGTAAGTGGGCAGATTCAACTAACTAACTAAAGGACTTTTTACTATTTATTGAGGCTCTCCCTTTTCTCTCTGTGCTCTCCTTTTTTCTTCCCCCTTAATCCCTGTGAGCAGTTATGTCACATAGCTGCCTCTCCCTGTGCCTGGATTGGCCGGGAGTTTCTTCCTGTTAAAAGGAAGAATCCTCCTAGTGCTGCTCATCAGCGATAAATTGAAAGTTTGGGGTTTTACTTACACTGCAGTGCATTTAGCTCACAATATAAAGAACCTTGTTATTGTGATTTGGCACTATAGAAATAAACCTGAAATTAAGTCAGTTGTCACTCCACAAAAACATAACAGTGGCCTTTTGCAAATATCTCTTCTCCTCAGTATTAAAAGTTATCATCTTAGAACTCTGAAGTAAGTAATAAGAAGCCAAAAAAAGGAAAAACAATTATTTTTAGTGCAATTTCCTTTTAGTAAAATCCATGTGTTTGAATCATTGCAAATAAAAGATAAACATACATGTAGAAAGTACAAATTAGCAAAGGGTTTTCAGCCTTTTTGGCTGGTGACCCCTAAAAACTACAATCAAATTTTAAAAAAAGTTATTGTCTGAATGAGTGAAATCACATGTAATTTATTTTTCAAATATTTTAGAAGCGACAAGAATCATTTCTACTGTTTTAGAGTGAAAAAAAAAAGAAACTAAGTATTCTGTTTTATCTCTGTAATTACCCTCAGGTTGAAAAACAAAGGTAGCATTAACTTTAAATTCACTCATATGTGAGAAGTAGATAACTATAGTGCCATAGTGCCAATATCTGATACTCTTTTTCTGTTTCCCTGACAGTATGAACCATCCTACATAACACCTGGTCTTACCCTGATGGAAAAGAGGAACGACAAAGTGAGGGCCACATTAATGCCCACAGAGAGGCCTCGCAGTTACACTTTTCTCGGTGTGGACTCGGGAAGGAAGAAAGGAGGAGCGGGAGAAAACCATGAGTGATATACTGTGAACACGTTCTGTCACAAAGCAAAGAAACCGGCTGGCGGTGGATATTTTACGATATCTGCAGTGTTAACTACTGAAAGTATAAGCCAAAGCAGGCAGAGACTGTAATGAAAAGCATGAGTAACAGGCACATGGATAACAGGCATTATGGATACGATGTTTTACATGTACAGTGACTTACATGTAAAATAGTCATATTGTTGCTGCTCACCAGGAAAAATATCAACTCTGTTATTTGTTAAACATCTTTTTTGATTAAAATGTTCATAGAAGTGACTTCACTGAGCCCCTTCAAGTGGCTTTAGATCTTTGATAATAAACTGATAATGACTTCATTAGTTACACTTTGCTGGTAGATTTGCCTCAATTCTTCAAGACACAGATTCAACAAGGTGCTGGAAACATTCCTCACAGATTTTGGTCCATATTGAGATTATATCATCACATGGCTGCTGATATTTGGTGACTGTGGAGGATGTTTGAACACAGTGAACTCACTGTCATGTTCATAAAAGAAGTTTGAAAAACACAAGAAGTTTGAAAGGCAAGTGTTGCAACAGAAATCGAGACTTATCAATTGTCCCGTTCTTACCTGACAGGAGTCACCCTGTGTGGTCTTCTGCTGCTATGGCTCATGTTCAGAGTCACTTAAATTCCCCTTTTTCTCCACTTTGATCCTCAGTATGAACTTAAGCATGTCATTGTGACAACGTTTACTAGCCTAAAGCAGGTGTAGCTAATGAAATGTGCAAATGAAAGTGGAAATAAAGGTTTGGTGGTAATTTAGACATACTGATTGATTGTTAAGTGACAAAATCACAAAGGCAGAAATATGGGGTAAGTTTGGGGGTAAGTTTTTTCAGTTCAGTGTAGAAAAACACAGAAGGATTTTTTATTTCTTTTCTTTTTTATTTATTTATTTTTTGGTTCTTTTTCTTTTTCATAGATCACAGTACTTGATCCAAAAGTAAGTTTTTTAAGTCAAACAACAAAATGTTTAAGAAGTACAGGCTTTAAGGGTATCACCGAAAATGAAAATAAAATATCTGAAAATACACAAAATCTAAATTCCTGAGACCAAAATACTGTGAAATATGTATAACGTAACACAGAAAAATATTTATTTGCCTTTCAAAAAAATATAGTGAAATGTATTGTAATTTTATACCTTAAAGTAGAGGAATAAATATAATTTGTAGATATTGGGTGAGAACACTGAGAAATTTGTATTTGAATATTTGAATATCTTTGTGAAAAAAGTAGATGAAGAAATCACTGCTTTAGATCTGGACATCATCAAATAATTTAGTTTTTCCTGTTTTTTTGTGGGTTGTTTTTTTTTGGGGGGGGGGGGAGCTTTACTGTTTAACTATTTGAAGTTACTGTTAATTCTATGGTAAAAATCACAGTTAGAATGTGAAATTAAATTCTGTTTTATCACTTTTCATATTTTAACAATGCCAACTTGGCAGACTAAACCCGTTTTGTGTAATCTGGGACTCCTCATCTACAAATGATGTTACCAAAAAATATCCAGTTTAACTGTCATACTGCTTATACTGGCCTTCGACTACTACCTCTACTGTTGTAAAGTACATTTTCAGATCTTTCAGTTATTCTAGCAAGGAGAGAAAATAAAGATGCACATCTATCCATCCGTTTTTCCCCTCTTACCCAAATTAGTGTCCCATGTAAGCTGGAGTGTATCTCAGTTCTGTTAGGTGAAGATTTATTGTGTGTGTGTGTGTGTGTGTGTGTGTGTGCAGTAGCGGTTTTAGATACGGGCGACACGGGCGGTTGCCCGGGGCGGCATCGTGGTGGGGGCGGCATCACGGGCATCGGCAAAACAAAAAGAAATGCTCGTACTCATGCTGCCCCGACGTCAGCCAGTGCATACTGGTAATGGCATAGGCACCAATCGGTTTTCTATCGCCCATTTGCTGGGAGTAAGGGC